GAAATACAGCCTCCTAGAATAGGAATTTATGGTATCAAATCAATGAAAATGGGACATTGAGTTTATAAATTGTCTTTTCATACCTGTCTATTTAGTCTATCAACAGAGCGATGAAAATATAAATAGGTTTACGTACTTTGGCCCCTAATTTGCAGATATCAACAAAAACATATTTGCCCTAAATTCAGCGATGGGGGTGGCTTCATGCAAGAAAAGGAATGGAACAACCCTACCCTTACGAAGCAACTCCTTTGCAACCATCCAAAAAAATTCCAAAGGCCATGGACTCAAAGCGACCTTCTCAACGCGATGATTCCAGGGTTCCACAAGATCACAACACTAAGCGAGAAAATGGACCTTAGACTGGCATGAGGAACGCTTGGTGGCCATGGAAGCAAACCATTTTTCACGAATAGAAACCCCATCGCCCACGGCGATCGGCCCAAAGTCCTTCGCCGGGCCGTCAAGTCCATCACCAGATCCAACCCAGGCGCAACCCCACACAATGGCAACCGTTTTAAGCGCCCCGCACCTGCCGTTGAATCCCCCAAACTGGGGGACCCCATTGGGAAAAGACCATACGAAAGCCCCGGGATAGCGATTCGGGTCGCCCTTCTGCGAAAATAACTTTTGGATAATTGGGCAAATGTTTGGGGGAATCGCATTTCATTTAGTGGGGAGAGCCAACCCCCCCCCCCTTGTGTAAATCAAAAGGTCCGTGAACCCATAGAAAACATGTCCAAAGCAAATGGGTCATAGCGAAAAAAAGTTAAATTTGTTTTGTACGGGGTGTCATTTTTTGTCTTTGTTCAGGGGAGGCCCCCAACCCCTCTTTTAAAGAGGTCAGGGGGAGCCATTGAACCCCCTCTTGACCCCCCCAAAAAAGGCCCCTAGGCTGGAAAAAAAAAGAGTGGACTATACGCAACTACGAGGCCACCTCAAGCCCCTTCCGAAATATTGGATCTTATCGGTGGGGTGCATTTTGCCAGTCACTTCTATAAATAACTATTTTCAACACTATTTCAAAAGTAAAAAAAGGATACCGAACGTTTCGCAAGAGTAATGAACATTATAATCTATAGACGTGCGCTATATTTTGAAACGTATATCCATGTCTGTTTACTGCTGTGCGTTTAAAATTAAAAGTATATTTGTTCCACTTTCGCATGGGTTAGTTTACCATTTTATATAGAAAAGAATACTTTCTTTATCCCTTCTGGGTATATCCCAGCAGGTATTCATACTTAAAATAATGGAGAGAAAAATAAAACCTATCGGACAGTTCAAACAATAAATTCACTTCTGCTGTTGCCGTCGCATTTTTTCCTCCTCGACACGCAGAAGCGCGAGCTCCATTTTAGTCTCAATCTTTCGGGTGAAGCTTTTCTCCTGCAAAAGAGGCAAGTACCGCTGCAGCATGGGCAATAAGCCATAAGTATTGCCGCGCGTCTTGTTCGCCGATGTGGTGGTATGATTACCCTGCCTACCCGAAAGACGTGGATTCCCATCATGAGTCTGCTGCTTCTCGTTGTTCTGTTGAAGAGACTTACTCAAGCTGGGTTGAGTAGTGTCCTCCAGACGGAGCAACTCGTCCACTGGCGCCACTGTCAGCAATGTTTGAACAACATAATTGCCAAACGGATCCAAGGCTATGTCGACAAGCGGCCAGAGATGACAATCAGATAGCACCGTTGAATCCCCTGGTGCTGTGCTCCCCTCATTCTCGCAACTATGCACATCCTTTATTTTGGGGGCCTTCTTGTTATCAATATTGCCCCGTACAAGGCTCCTCTCCTGTGAAACAGACAAAGCTGGTGAAGAAGGCGTCAAAAGGTTGCGACAAAAAGCACGGATTCGCTTCTCGCTGCTGTACCGCAAGACGTGCTCCATCACATTAGAAGCATATTTATCCTTGCAAAACACTGTTGTGCGCTCTTGCATCTGCTGAGCCACATCATCTACAAGCTGGATGCTCCCACGGGCATAGCATACTTCCACCGCGTGTGTTATAACGTAGTTGCCGTAAGGATCCATCACCAATGCCGTAAGGTGTTCCAACAGCTTTTTCACCAACCCGACAAAAAAATCTTCGTTTTCAGATAACTGGGAAATGGTAAGTGACGCATCGTGGATGTCGGATGTAACTGGAAATATCTGTGCAAAGAAATCCAAACATTTCTGGGTGATGCAGCATCCCTGTCGATGTCGACATACTACCAGAAGGCTTTTCAGAAGACCATCGTACAAGAAACGTATCTTTACCCGTAACACATCGATAGCAAGCTCGGTACTTCGCAACGCATTTCTGGGACAGTTGTTTTCTTCCGTAGCTTGAGCCGTATTGCCATGGTATTTGGAATTGGACTCCACAATACCCCCTCCTGGTATGGCATGGGAATTAACAGAAACCGGACTGATAGCCATCGAGACAACACCAGTCCCTCGAGATCCGTATACACCCTTAATATAGCTCATTACCTTCAGTAAGACGTGTCCGCCGTTAGCATCGAGCAACAATTGAACCAAATGATCGCCGAGGCTGCTAAAGACAGCCTGCTCCTCAGCCTCACTCCGCAATGTCTCAACAAGACGCTGCACAGCAAAGGTACCGTGTGCAGAACACGCCACATCACCCAATCCTTTGTGGAGAATAGAGCCTTTACGTAGAAGTGGCAAGCGTTCGTCGTTACTCAGTACTTCGAATAGCTTCTGAACCAAAAAGTTCCCGTAGGCATCCGACATGACCTGAGGTAAGTGCGGCTCCAAGGCTGCGATGATTCGACGTAAAGGAAGGGAAAGTTGTGGCAGCGAAGGCACACCTTCGCTTGTCACCGTATTCACTGCACCCACTTCTGTATCGCCTCCATACCGTTCGCTATCATCCTTTTGGGGGAGCTTAGTGCCGCCGTAGTCCTGCGAACCTCGCACACGTGTAGAGGGTATTACACCATCACCGTAGCGATTTGCTGCCTCGCAATCTAGCACGGCTTGAAGAGAGCGGCAACCCTGCTGGTCACGCGAGAGCGCTAGGATCTGCTTCCCAAGAACCCCACCAGCCACATCATCATCGGTGAGGGAATTTTCGAAACTGTCATCTCCGCATTCAGGCGTATTCAGGAACAACAGTAAGGTGGCTGCGATAGACGGTGAGACGCATCCGGGCGCGTTGGGTGATCCTGCTGCAGTACCATGGGAGTGGTGGTGGGTTGACTGACGAGTGCCGCTGGCGCCTTTGGTAGATGCGTTTCGAGGATTTGAACTTTTGATGGTCTTGGGGGTGACCGTGGCGTTCAACGTAATGGCGGTGGTACTGTTAGGGCGTCGCTGCAGATTCACATTAGGTTGCTGAGCAATCATAAACGGGCTTGTCAGAACACCACGCTGCAGATAATGCGCATACCGCTCCGATGGCGGTGGGCCACCACTACCAGGGGTATTAGCACCGTTGTCCTCTGATTTTGTCGACTGAGATGGACCAACTACGTTAGCAAAGCCACGTTGCCAGTCCATCCCATTAGATTTGCCGCCGCAATGGTTATGTCCGTCCTGCAGATGAGCAATAGAGGACAAAAATACACTTGTGCTATTAGGTGCTTTTGTGGTACTGGCTACAGTGGAAGTGGTGGCACGAGCGTTAGGGATATTTGATGGCTGCGATATAGGTCGTGATGTATGAGAAGGTGGGTCCGCAGAAGTCGAGGTCTTCGGACGCACTGCGTGCATAGTGATCACTGGTGGCTCTTGCATCATTGTTAAGTTACTGAAACCTGACTTGGGAGGCTGGTAAGCACCCTCCAGATTAGGCTGAGAACGAGAGAAAGCCTCAGCGCCTCCTCTCGTGGTAGCGACATGGAGTGAACTAAGGTAGTGATGGATGTGGGTTGGGTCAACGGGGCTGCGCCCAGGTGAGTCAGGAGCAAAAGGGATGTGCTGCATCTGCTGAGCTGTTCCAGACGCAGAAGATGGATATGGTAAAGCCGCCAAGGGTCGAGGTGGAGACGGTAACATAAAAATATTTACCTCATTTGTGCGAGGTCTGAATAAATGATGATGAGGTGTACCACAATCTTCACCGTTAACTGTCTGAGGAAGAACTTGTTGCCAAACATCGGTTGTAGCGCACCCGTCACCACCCCACCCACCCCTGTGCACTGGTGTTGTAGATAATGAACGGTTCATAGACATCACATGGTGGATATTGTTGTTCTTTGTGGAGCCCACCACAGTGGAGTCGGTATGTTGGCCTGTGCCACGTCCGATGCCTGTTCCAAATTCGATATCAACAGCCTGAGCATGTGACACATTCCCATTTAGCGTTCGCATTCCTTCTCCTGACGGATGCTGGATTGGCACCTGTACATGTCTCACACCCGAGGAAGTTGTGCACGGAATAACCCTCTGATGGTGCGGTGTAGCAGAATGTGGGCTCCCACCTTCTGATGAGAAAGGCAGTGCTGCACCTGCGGTGCTAGTCTGAGATCGGTCCCACCCATGGAAGAGGCCCCCGTAGGTCTGACCCGAACCATGCACGGTAGTGGTTGTGGGTGGTGTTGCACAAGGACACATCAGCTGCGGTGCTGAGAACGATTCACATGACGCAGTCATTGGTATAGTGCTTCGCCCCCCTATCCCGCTGGGAAGCTGCGCTGATGGCACAATCCCTGACGATGGTAGGTCGGGGGTATCCACCACCTTAGTCTGACTGAGGGTATAGCGCATCTCCGCTCGCCGCGGGGACTGTTCACTTGGTCGCAGGACGTCGCAGGGCGTCGCATCGGTCGGGCTCACCGTCACACGAGTCGAGGAAGTCGTGTAGGCAAAAGCTGATGCGGTAACGGTTGTGCCTTCCGTGAAGCTGAGCTGCTTCTGAGAGGCCGAGTTCTCGTCTACACGGTGTAGACTGCTCAAAGCTTCGGTATGCTGAAAAATACCACTGTGCTCGCTAGAGAGGGGCCTCCCTGTTGAGTCCGGGTGTGCATGGTGACCTCTGGCTTCAACCATGCCAACAGTGTGAACTGCCCCGCTGCCCACCACTTGCCTGGGCAACATAGAAGCGGGTGAGACGCCACAAACGTTGGTCATAAACATCGAATGTAGGTGCGTCCCATTGTAACCGTTAGACGAGTTAAGCTCCGGTGAGCACCACAATTCCTTCTCGGTGTCCCCAACGCTTCCTGAACATTCGTCCAAGGGCGACACAGACTGTTGGTGAGCCTCACACAGAGTGTAGATGGCCTCAGCTGGTGTAACGCCAGGCGGGCTTTCGCGATGAAAGATGTTAGCCTGTGTGCCCAACTCCGCGTGCGCCTCGCTAACACCCCGGTGCTGTAGCTTCACCGATTGTAGCACCTTTGAGGAAGCTTCGGCTGACGGCAATTTATCTTCACCCTCAAGAGCAGCGGCTGCACGAACCTGTGAGAGCAACTCAAGGAGTTCCGCGTTCTCCTCTGCTTCAAGAAACATTGAAGTTCAAATCGATGGCGCTGGATCAACTATGTATGCCTTTACGTATGGTTATCCCTAGGTCTACCTTTGTTTCTCCGCCACCTATTACTATTGTTGTCGTTATTTCCCCTTCGTCTCACTTTCTGACCTTGAAAGGGTAGTTTACCACCTCTTTTACGCCCTTATCAATCACACTCTGTCCACTTTCTTTGTCACTCAAATGCGACTATGTATGTTTTTCTTATTGACTTTGGTTCGTTATAAAAGTGTTCGTTACTTAATGTAAAACTATACAATAACAATAATACTTAAAGAAACAAAGTCCTCTCCTTAAAAGATAGGGGGGGGGGAAGTGGAAAAGCTCTTGAACTTCCTCTCCTCAGCGCCATGCTCCCTCTTTCCATGCAAATAGAACAGTGACAAGGAAGGGGTAAACAATGACGCTGAATAAACGCTCACCAAAGTGCAGAGATTGTAATAATTGCATTAAAAAAATGTAAAATAATGAAACTCGACTCCACCTGTGTACACATGCGTGAAAAGGGTCCACGTCCGTAAACCTATTCCAGCTCCTAAAAATGTTCGACAACAAGAAATAACCCATTTCCTATGTCTCAATTGGGTGCTATAGTATTCTTCACTAAGAACCAAGTGCTGGTGGAACCGTTGACGATAACAGCAAGCTAAATAGAGAGAGAACAAAAAAAAACATGATAAGGCCTGCAATTAATACGAAGCCCCCCCCCCTCTCCAATGCTAAAGCTGTAAATAATACCCCACAACGCGAAAGTTGACCTATAAATAAGTAATGCGTATGTCTGGGGAAAGGGGGGAAGTATCACTAAATAGCATCAGAGCAAAATATATGAAATAAATGGAACTGAAAATGCAACGCAGGCTATTCAAAAAATGTGATAAATGGAAATCACCGGCAACAAATACATGGGTGCTGTCGCTGTACGAATTAGTTGTCATCATATTTTGTTACAACCGTAAACACTAGGTATTGATGCCACGTAGCTATGCTAGAACGCCCTGTTGGTGTATACGTGAAAAGATTGACTGTACATATGCTGTCGCCATAGGTCCTTTCACTTGACAGTTGCCGACGTGCTTGAGAAGTCTTCCGAGCACATCTTGATCCAGCGTACCATGTAACTCCTACCTACCACCACGCATCGCTCCCATAGCTTCCCACGTCTCTCTCCACCCCACTTAGCCCCTACTTTTTCACACGATGAAATGAAACTGAAACGCCACTGATGCTCACTGTCGAGCGGGCCGTCTCGTCGTATTCATACCAATCCTCCGAAAGATCCGCGTCCTTAAATACCACGCCACTCATGCCCTCCACCACCCATTGATCATCGAGCCGCAGTTCCACAGGCTCCGCGCCGCGCATATCCAGCTGCACTACAGCACCCCCTTCGCTATGCTGTTCAGGGTTATATGAACCAAGTGAGGGGACACTGCGGTTGCTGTTCTTGTGGCTCATTCCTGAAGAAGGTGGTGCAACGACCACATTGGCAGTGACGCTCTCCTTGCAAAAATGACACTTCGAGACGTAATTGCGCACCCCACCACCACTACTTTGGTATGACTCCTTCGAATCAATGAACAAATAATTATCGGTTACCTCGTGACACGAAAGGCAGCGGCACTTCAGAGCCCAGTAGCGACCCTCCGAGGGGCGCACGGCAGCAACGCATTCCCACCCCTCTGCCTTCAAAATAATATTGAACACAGGCATGCTGGTTTCTTTCGTATCGGTATTCGTGCTTTACACTAAATTGTTTCCACACAGCTTAGTCTAAAGATCAACTCTTTCTATTAAAGAAAACGCAACACGATCAGCAAATAATAACTAGCGAGTGAATTAAGCAAACTACGCTTTCAAGAATAATGGCTCACTCACATCAAAAAGAGGGTTGAGGAAAAAAAAGGACTAAAAGAAATGTATTCACCCTTGTCACATTACCTCCGCAACCATTCACAACACACCACCCTGGAAAAAGAACTCGGGTGCTTTAACTGGTATTATTTTGTCATATACCAAACTCCTCATTAAATTAAACTGTTATATTAATATATTTAGATTTTCACACCAGTATTTGTAATCGTCTACTATTAATAAATAAAATAGTTTCGGAAATATATATATATATATATATATATTTTTTTGATAAGTATTCTTTGTCCTACTACTACTATTTTTTGATTGCTATTAATCTTCTTTTTTGTAATATAATACACAAATTTTCGCGTAAATATTCCTGCATGGTAAGTTTGAAATAATTTGTTCCTGAAAATAATGAAAATATAATTAAACTAATCAAAATTATAAACAAAAAACGTTTAATTATATTCTTCAGCTAAGTGTTCAAGAGTTAAGTGAAAGTATAAATAAATTAATAAAATATAACGAAAAGTAATATATTGTCAAAAAATCATTACATTTAAGTGAAAAGATGTGCTGTTCAAGTTACACTTCTTCGGTTCCTCGGTGTGATGTTAAGCGTCTTCTATAATGACATCATTCAGAAGCGTCACTAAAACGAAGCACTGGTGAAAATAATTAATAAAATAAACGTACAAAGAAGTAAATAAAGAAATGGGACAAAGAGGTCTCAAAATACCTTCCTAATACGTTTCTATATTCACAGTTTGCTTCCTCTCTGCCCGTGAAAATTAGGCTTCCACCTTTGGAGAAAATTTTTGATGTTAGATTTACACAAAGTTACTAAAAAAAATGGTGCAACACGAAATAAATTTTCATATGGTTAAAAAAAAAAAATCTACACCATAACAAACACACAAACCATAGACCTCACCCCCCATCATAAAATACAGATTTCAGTCAAGTGTGTAACCTAAAAAGCATTGCGGAATATCTGCATAACATCCTCCTTTGTAGCTGTTCGGGGGTTGAAGCAGGCGCACACGTCCTTCATAGCGGCTTCTGCCAGCATGGGTAGATCCTTCTCATTTGCAGCGCCCAGTGCCGCGAACCCGGACGGGATCTCAACCGCGTGAGACAACTCACGAATCGCGCTCAAGGCGGCATCTGCGGCACATAAATCCGACATCCCGACAGTGCTCACCCCCAAAGCCTCGCCAATATCCCTAAGTCGGTGCGGCACGACCGTCTTGTTGAACTCTTCGACGTGGGGCAGCAAAATTGCATTGCAGACGCCGTGCGGCAGGTTGTACACGCCGCCCATCTGGTGTGCACAGGCGTGCACGTAGCCGAGGCCACCGCTGTTGAAGGCCATACCGGCGAGGTACTCGGCGTAGCACATGCCATCCCGAGCCTCGACGTTGTCGCCGTGGAAGGTTGCCATGACAAGATTCCTCTTAATAAGGCGGACTGCCTGCAGCGCACAGGCGTCTGTAATCGGTGAGGCTGCGATGGAGACGTAGGCCTCGACCGCGTGGGTGAGCGCGTCCATCCCGGTGGCGGCTGTGAGCGACTTGGGTTGTTTCATCATCAATTCCGTCGCGTTCACCGCAATGAGCGGCGTCGACATGTCGGTCGTGATCACCATCTTGGTGTGTCGGATCTCATCCGTGATCACCGCGAAGCGAGTCAGCTCACTTGCCGTGCCGGCCGTGGTGTTAACCGCGACCAAGGGAAACTGGGGCTTGGCGGCTTTGTCTAATCCTTCGAAATCTTCGACCTCGCCGCCGTTGCTCTTCACGAGTGCGATACCCTTCGCACAGTCATGCGGGGACCCACCGCCAAGGCTGATGATGTAATCACAGTTCGACGCGTTGAGCATTTTCAGCCCATCGTTCACATTCTTAACGGTCGGGTTCGGCTGCACGCTGTCGAACACTGTCACATTCTGGGCGCCAGCCTCAGCCTTCAGAAGTTTGATCGTCGGCTCGAGCATCCCAGATTTGAGAATGCCCTCATCGGTCACAATAAACGGGTTTCTAAGATTCAATGACTTGATCTTCGAGCTCGCCATTGACAGAGCGCCGTTACCAATGAAGCTGATGGTGGGCATGAAAAAGGCCGTCGCATCGGCAGACAAACGAGCAGTTCGCATCATTTTGAACTCTTAATGGTAGTGGTAGTGGTAGTGAAAATAACTTTTTGATGTAGGTGGTTAATTAAAACTTAAAATCTTAATATTTGATGATTGAGAAAAGGGTAATAGTCGAAAAGAACAAGTGGCACACTCATAACGCTGCTTTGTCTCCGCATGGCATTGTGGGTTTACGAAGGAAACAAAAGAAAATGAAAAGACATATGTGCGGAAAAAAGGGGGGAAACAGCACAGTGCCATCCCTGTTGCCCATTTAAAGCAACACTAAAGTGAACCCTTATAAACCGAATCAAAGTTGACAATATTATTAACTCCCTGACTCTCTGCCCTCATTTTTTGTTATTGATTTAGCGAGTGTCACCTCTCGTTTTTTGACTTGAATCATTTCATTGATAGTCCTTCATTTCCTTTAGCATTTAAAAACGCTGCATTTGTTCCTCGCACCACCGAGCTAATATCTTGCTGCATGATTTTGCGAAGTGTCGTGCAGTATTGGGGTAATAAGACTCTGGAGCGTTGAACATTACGCAATTTGCAGCTATCTGCCATGCTGCTCGCTCAAGCTCCGCGATTGTGAGAATCTGGTCTGCATGGCTACACACTGATAATTTAAAATCGTTGTCAGAGTTTTCGGAACTATCAATTGTAACTTTCTGCTCATCCATGAGTATTTGCGAATGCATGTTACCTTTTTGTATGTGCCTAATTTCACCACCATCATTAGCGATCTCATCATCATCTTGACGGTTATGGCTATATTGCGTGGGCCATAGAATTTTCGGTCCAGTAATTTCTTTTATAAAAGGAGTCTGGTCCTGCGTTGCTCCATGCTCAATCTCCTTCAAAACGCGATCCATCGCTCTGGTATGTTTGAAGTCTGAATTGTACCGTCGAAGGGAGTTCAACTCAAATGGCTGCTTAAGCTGATAATACCGCCTCCGGCTCTCAAGTATCTCGCGTTTCACTTGCATAAGCGATTGAGGTGCATAGATAACATCACAGTAAGGTCCAGAGCGCACTTCATTATACTCCATAATGGTTTGATCAGGAACCGGCAGGAAAAAAACACCCGCGCCGTCCACAAGAAAGAATTGCTGCAAAATATTCGATAGGACTTCAGGGCTAAGGAGTGTATTGTATCGTAAGCGATGCATTAATGCACGCTGCTCCGGCGTGTGATCAGAAAAGCACCATACTTCGTCTTCGTCATCGTCATAATCACTGGCATTACAGCCCACCACAACTTCATTGTTCAACCTTGAATCTTTTTGCTCGACTCGTTGATGCGGAGGAATTATCTCAGTCATCTCTCCTGCAGCAACAGGAGGCAAAGAGCTTCTTTCTTCATCAGAAGTCCCCCCGACATTGATAATTCTGCGTGAACTGTGGCGTTGTATTGGTGAGGATATTTCATACTTAACGGTTCGATTGTCTTCCACACTGGATATTGGTTTAGACGTTACCACTCCAGGGGCCATAGAAGGCATCTCGTCCAACGTCTTAGTGACAGCATCTGCACGCACACCACTGATCACTCGTGTGCTGCTACTTATAAATGACGATGCAGTAAACTCCTGGGATGCTCTATCCCGTTTTCTGGGTGAAGTAGGATCTACAAACGCAATAGTCGCGTCTCTCTGAGTATCACAGCCGCGGTCAATCTCTGAGTGTTTATCGGTCATGTAATCCTTAGTATAAACAGACGCGTTAGACGCACTTAAAAGAACCATCGATGGCGTAGGGCTACATCCATTGCTATTCGACATGATAGACAGACAGTATTTCTGTGAGGACGAAGTCGTGTTCGCAAAGGCCATGCTATGCATCATGTGGCAATGCTCACCCTGCTGCTGCGATAGCTCTTCTTCCTTGCGCCAAGTGGCAAGTCGTTCCTGCCACTTTAGATGAAGTCGCTCCAGATTACCATTGCAGTCCTGAAAAAAAAATTGCTCAAAAACGTTTTGGATGTGCGAAGGTGAGTATAAAAGGCCAGAACAGCGGTACAGAAACGCCGCAGTGTCCGTACACCACCCTAATGAAGGTAATGAAGTTTTTAAAGAGTCAGATGAATAGTTCCGTTGAGTTACCTTTAAGGGACAAGACAAATCGCATTCACATCGTGATTCATTTAAAATTTGTGGTGGTAAATTGAGATAAAACAAAATGCTAAGTAGGTCGGCGTGGCTCAAAGGCATTAGCACTCTTCAACGATTGGAATTGGTAATAGTATTTCTAAATATCTAAGAAATATTTGGTTCTCACACTTTCAAAACGATTTATACTAAATATAGATATATATAACATTCATGTATATATATATATATGTTGTCAGACGAAAAAAGAAATATTTACGTTCACACAAATCAAAATGAAAGTAAATTCTAGTGGAAGAGATAAAAGGATTTATAAAGTGTAATATGCTGTAATGAGATCTAGGTTATCAATATCAAAGCTAACTATGGAAGATTGTGTATAAAAAAAAAAAAAGAGAAACTGTGTTAACACAATTTAAAAAAAAATGAATGTATAGTTCAAAAATCATTTAAACTAATTATAAATAATGAAGATAGAAGAAGATAAGACCAAATGATCGTCTTTGGAAAAACACAAGGAGCGATATAGATGGGCTAAATATGATGCAAAGCAACACAAATCACCGTTCTAGAATTCACTATACCATTTATGGTTAAAGTTGGTGCGTGAATCAGTCCAACTGTGCCATGCATTTTGGATTTTTTTATTTGACCCCTCTAAACTGCTCCTCACAAATACCCAAATGCGAGTCATTTCACGGCCCACCACCCTTCGCTTAGGTAAGACGTATGGTTCAAATTTTACTTCACCCAATGCGAAAAGACTCACGCTTCTGCTTTTTCTTCATCGAAAGTGGATTAGGGTTATGTTGACGTTTACGCTTCCGATTCCCAACAGTTGGAGTGTGACCATTGTCGCAAGATAGGGAAGACGCTCCCGCGCGCAAGTCCTCTTTACAAACCACCTCTGATTTGTCTATAGTAGAACCTGCATCGGTTGGGTTGCGGTGTGCCCCCAAGATTGTCTGTGGAGGCCGCTGTTCACGCCCTGCTCCGCTTTGAAGGACACCCAAGTGCTTCATAAAGGCGACGTCAGCAGCGGACAGACGATGCGTATCGGCCCCACCGAGCTTCGCAGGGGCCCCGGCCCGACCCACGACGTCACCCTGCGTAACCGATCCCACGGGCGGATCGGGGTACGAATAGCTAGCGGACTTGAGCTCTATCCACACACAATCGGGATGTTGTGCCCAGCGCAGCAGTCCTGCCTGTGCTGAGAGAACACGACGCACATCGTGGCTCTGTGACGCGATGAAGAAAAAGTGGTTGGGTGACGGCCCCGATGAGTGCCGACCGAGGGAACCGCTGTTACAGCCCGGAGAACCCTGTTGCCATGCAAATGCCTCAATTGCCTTGACTTCTCCTGATACATGTTTAGACGCATTGGGACGGCCTTTGAATGAGGCCGGAATCGGTCTCGAGGTGTCGCCATCGTTCTCAATGCCCCTGTGGACAGGGGTTAGCTTGGTCATTCCCAAAAAGAGATCATTAATTGCTTTGTTGGGATTTGGGGGTGTCTTACTATTGCTTCGGGGCTTAAACAAATGGCCTTGCTGTTTCTCATGTTTCTTGGGTCGTGACGACACCGACAAAGATCCCTTTACATTTTCAAGTGTATTGATAGTCGCTTTAACGTTATCTCTGTTGTTACTATTGGACATCATGCGCCGCAGCGCAAGCTCGGTCTCTGGTAGGTAATAGAAATTAACAGTTATGCCTGAAGAAGATTGATCACTAATTTTTTTTCTGCCTTCAGTGCGAACACTCTTCTTATTAACTTCCTTTTGAGGCTGAGAGGAAGGCAAGTGTTTATGGTCAATAACATTAAAAGCATTTACAACTGCATCCCGCATAAATGCCATAGATCCCAGAACCCCTTCAAACCGGAAATTACTTACATCCCCGCCATTCTGACTGCTCCAATACGAATGGATAACAGCCCTCAAAAAAGAAGCATCACATAGAACTTGAAACGAATTTATATTAGAGAGATGATTTGTTGTAAAAATTAACCGGAGTTGGCGCTTGTTAGCATGTGCTCGTAGAACACGCCGCTTCATCACAGTAGCCTAAACTTTTTGGTCCCTATTGTAGATGTTCTGGTGTGTTGTTTAATCAAAATAAAATTAGAAAATAGAAGAAAATCTAAATAATGATATGAATAATGTTTAGAAATCTCACATTTATTAGTAATAATAACGATATTGAATCTTCAGAATAGTGTCAAACACCATCTGAAAAAGGAAAAGAAACTCTTTCCCAAAAATCCAGAGTTGAAAACGGAGCTTTGAGGTTCAAAAATCATTAACCCTAGTTCTTTCTTGTCTTTTATATGCAAAAAAGTTCTGAAAGAGTGAAAATCTAAAATTCTACTTTTCGTGCGTACAAAAAAAGTAAAGCTTACTTGCTTAAAAAAAATGTAGCACTAAAAATAATAATAATAAGGGAATGTGTCAAAAGAAATAGTTAAGGATAATTTTTTTTACCACATCGACTCATTTTCCCTTATTCTTTGAAAAAGCACTTAGCTTTGAATTTCTCTCTTTTATGATTCGATAAAATTATCTTAGTCTCTCCGTGTGTGTATCTGTTTTTGGTGGCTTTCTTGATTGAATTCAAAAATCAGAGTCCAGAAATTCCCCGTTGAGGATTAATAACTTGTGTAACTCTCAAGTAGCAGGGTAAATCATAACCCACATGATGATACATAAACAATATTAAGAGGGAACACTAGTAAAGGTGATATTAAAAAAAATTCCTCCATGGTATCCAACTTCATTATCTTCACACATCCAGCGAAACAAAAAGAATCCTATCAATTCTAAAAAAATGATATAAATAAAAGTAACATGCATAAAAGTTAGGTGTAAATCTACTTCAGTGTTCTTAACTTTAGCACACCTTTAATACTCTTTCTGTTAGACCAAAGAATAGATTATTTTATCTTGAAAGAATTTACCCCTATACCATTACATTCGTACCTCCAAAGATGCTCGAATAGAATGTAAGCAAAGAAAAAGATGCCTAACTATAATACGTTTGTATTCCTTTTAGTTTCTTAAGAAGGATATGGGAATTGTATGAAAACATCTGGATATGAACTAACTTTCTCTTCTCCTCCCCTCCTCCCCCTCCCCCTCTTTTTCCTCTTTGTAAAGATATATCAAAAACAAAAGGCAAAAAAATTAGTCAGAGACTTCTAAAAGTCCAAAAGCATGATTACCCATCTATCCACTTTCTCTGGTATTGAGACTCCTATTACCGGTGATAATGTACCTTGGAGATTGAGTCAATTAATTGCCTCCTACACCTGTCATTTCCTCCCCTCTCCCTCCCAACTCCTTTTCAATAAAGTACATGTTTCATTCAGTTAAAACATCCCTCTTTATTTACCCACATTGCTCCTATTTTCACCCTATTCTTTGTCTTTTCCGACTATTAGAGCTTGAATCGTCATCGTCGTCACTGTCAAATCTGGTTGCACGCCGCACAACTGCCTTAAAAAATGCCTTAAATCCCTTAAACAAGTTGTTTGAGTTACGCAGACTGTATTCCATGGGGCTGTCATCCTCGCTGCTATCACTTACAAAGACAGAACTTCTCCCCACATATGATTTAGTGGATGGCAAGAAAGCATCTCGAGATGCACTCCCAACGCACCATTTATAATCATCCGAGTTCCTCGGTCTTGAAATCTTTCCATACTCACGCGAACGGTAATCAAATTGAGGATGGCATTGGTTAAACACTTTGTGATCTTTGCACTTCGCACTACCTTCCAATGAACCTGCTCCATCTAATGTTGAAATGTCTGCAGGAACGCTAAATGCTACAAAGCCCGTATCATGTGGTAAACTGAGTGGTGCCTGATGAGTTGGAGTCGCCCCCTCGTCTTGGCAAGTCATCTCACACCAATTGGTAGGTTCCCATTCACCACCGTGGGGTCTATGTGGTTCGTCTACACGGACGCAGTCCGCCGTACCCATGGTACCATCGGTAGAAAACCGATTACTGACCGATCTTTCATGGCACTCAAGAAACCCAAGACTTTCCGTCTCATTGCCGTTCCCTGCCATTGAGCTAGGGTCACTCCCACCGAGCGCAACATCTGATCCCTTCTCCTCAAACAAATTATTCGCACAGAGTCCAAAATCATTTGCGGGAGTGTTCTGTGTAGATTGGTCTTCTTTTTCATCCCTGATGCACAATGCACGTTCGCGAGGTAGGACGTTCTCGACTTGACACAACTGGTGAAGCTGCTGCTCGGAAGAGTTCGCATCAAAAGTACTCGAGAAGTCATTTAATCGATACGCTTCACACGAAGTTAATGGATTCGATAGTGGATCTCCCTCAAGCGATATTTCCGTGGCTTTCGTAACTGTAATAGCGCCAACATCGTTGGAATTTATAAGACATGTGCTCTCAGGTTGATCGAGTGAAGATGACTGGCGGAACTCAACGGTCGATCTACCAGGGCTGTCCAATTCACTTTCCGTCTCGCGCGGTCCCCCGGGGCCCTCACTATCACAGAATCCTTGTGCAGCGTTACCGTCTCCATTTCCCTTGCCTTCCTCATTGTTGAGCCTTTGGTTCAGGATCTCAAGCACCTCCCGCCGTACAGACCCATGCCCTTTCACTGCAGTGTCAATGTTTCGCTTAATCCACTGCAAACGATTCTGAAGTGCCTCCACACGATTAGTCCACATGCGGAAGACTTCAGCGTCTTTCTGGAGGTTAATGCGGCTAAACAAGAGGGCTTCATCAGGCACAGTATTAGTTATAGTCATCGCAGTTGAGGTTTGTGTCTTCTCACATGCTTTTTGAAGTTCTTTTTCATTGCGAAGCTGTCCAAGATGAAGGATTTGATTAAGGTGCTCAACAGCCGTGCTTACAGTAAGGAAAAGCTGATGCTGTGCGTACCGCACGGATGTAGCAACGATCGCAATAAATTGCTCCTTACCACGGTACAGAGATGAAGACAGTAATGTTGTGGTTGATGATATAGTATTTCTGCCGCTGCTTCGCAGGGAAGCCATCTCAGCTATAGAGGGAGCTAAATTTGATTGTTGGGGTCTCTCTTCTGGTTGGGTCAAATCTAGTGTTGATATCTTGTTAGAAGCTTGGGAAACTAAACTGTGCCTCCCATCCTCTTTGCCATCGTCAGGAACCATAATGAGTCGCAGCGGCAGAGACTCATAAGGAGGCTGGTCTCCATCCCCTCCATGGCATCTATGAGAGAAATCTAGAGTTGAAAAAACAGTATCGCCAAGGTTCATGGCACCCTTGTGAAAAAATCCGCCAGCATAATTGGACGAATTTAAGATGTCGTGCGAAGATGTAGTGGAATGAAGCAGAAGTATATCATCTAAGAGGAGCTGCCGGATGCGCTCATATCGTTTTGAAAGTTCTTCTGGCATACGAGAGATTAAATTCAGGTCTGGCACTCTCTTAAAATGTGTGGCTGCTAATGAAGCAAGCGCAATAGATGGGTCCAAGGAACTATCAGCGTTGTACTTGATATCCTGTGGATTGGTAAAGACGTCGTTCTTATCCTGCGTCTCAGAGGGAACGGGTTGAGACGCGGGCGCCTTTGGGTGTCCCGAAGGCATTTGGATTGCTGTCATCTTTCTGTTGTTATTGTTTAAGATCGAGTTGACATCAGAAATAATGTATTTATGGAGCAATTTATGGAATATCGTCTCCAATGGTGATAACTGCTCCTCTACGTATTCAAGACGCTCTACGAGATAGCTACTGACCTGTAGGTCCATTTCAACCTGACCAGCCTGAGTCTTAATTACTACCCCACCATATTGGCCAGTAGCCGCATTTTCACTTCCGCTGCAACCCGTTGGGGTTGGCAAAAGAAAAGAAGACTTGGTTAAAGCTGTTTGACTCCACGCCAACAACTCCATAAGAGTCCTTTCGATGGTAGAAATCCCCATAAAAATAGCTTCATCCTCAGCGATCTCACGTTCCTGTGCACGAAATATTTCAGAGCACTGCTGTAGGTTGGCCATAACTTGAGGCTCACGACTTTTCTCATTGAAAAGCGTCATCATCCGCCCCATATCATTACTACAGTCATTATCACGATTGTTCAAGGGGGGGGGATATTTAGCAGTCGCATCCCGACAGAAAGATCGCATGGGTGGAAAAGAAGTTGAAGAAAGCGCAGCTGCATCAGTACCAGCAGACTCAACCGCATTAATACCATGTGTGCAAGGTCCAGAAATGGATAGTGCAGATAAACTGGAATGAAGAGGTGTCCATGAAAATGGAGTCTTTTGTATTACTACCGATGATAACGCCGGCGTGGAAGAAGACAAGGACGTCAGAGGGGCGGCAGGTCCCTCACACGCAGTGACAAATTGATGCGCATTGAGCGTGGAGTCGCGCAAACCTGGTGGTGGAATCCCAAGGTTGTCAGGGACTGTGAAGACCCTGTCCTCCGCACGATCATTGTGTGAAGAAGGGTGGGTGGGATAACACGGGGTAAGAGAGCCATATGGCGACAACGCCGTACCGGGGATCCCGATCGGGCCGGCACCATTCTCACCAGGGCCTGAGGTCCTCACCGAAAGGGAGGACGCGGCGGAAACCCTGGTTGAGGCAATGGGGTCCTGAGGGTACCCTGCCATAACAGGTGCCCCGGCGGGGCCCATAGGCGGTCTGGCCTGTGACATCGAATGGGCCGCGTACCAATGCAGGGAAGTGGGGCCGTCCTCCTTGTAACAGTGTGGGGCCACCCCCTGGGGATAGGCCCATCCTGAGGAATGCCCCTCCCCATAAGTCCCGTGGATGTTGCGGGGGATGGCCTGAAGAGGAATGTGATACACCGAGGAAGGAGGAACAGCCCCTGATGGCATCGATTGACTTGAGCTTCCTTGGGGTAGATTCCCTGGGTAGAGAAAGGCATCCCCAAACGCGTTGGATGGCGGCGGGCGCTGTGGCTGGCCTGCGTATAACTCCTCCACCTGATCACCTGAGGTCCCAGGGTAGGTATTCATATACACATTATTCATGTTAAGATTGGAAGCATTTTGAAAAGAATCACTCCCCACTACAGAGTGCGAGTTTAGCGAAGAGTACATTTTGTGCCTCAGGATTTTTACTCTTTAAAATCCGTAGTGAAGAGATAAATATGATTATATTTGCTTGAAATTCAACTCAAGTAAATTAGTTCTCTTATTATCAAAAAAAAAAAAACTATTCTTAGCAATATATACAAGAAGGTAGCTAGTGGACAGCCTATTTTCTATGGATTTTATCTTTGGTTGGTGTCATAGTAAAAAAATCCAACGTCAGTACAGGAGAAGGAAAGGGAGAATTATTAGTTGAGAAAGTGAAATCCCTCACAATAGTCTAATATTTATTGTAAATTGTAAATCAAGTATAACAACCAAAGATTAAACGATAAAAAACGTGAGGCAAAGTGAAATGTATTTTTTATTTATAAAACCATTGATCTTCCAAATTCAAAATTCAGTACTCGAGAAACTGACCATACACATGGAATTTTTACTTCTGTTTTATCCTCTTTTATCTCAAGTATGGAAAACAAATCCACTAAATCGACTGTTCAACTCATCAGGAATACTTCAACCCAAATCATATCGCAAAGAAGTATATGAGAAACGTATCAATATGAAAAGTATTATTGGAAATGTATTTTTTAATTCAGAGCTTTCTGATGGGGTTTCAGTCTAAATTCTGCTATGATGAAAAATTGAAGTAATGTCGTTAAAGAAGGAAATGTTTGAAATTAGAAAACCAGTAGTAACGAAAATAAATGTTTTTTTTTAAGTAATATTGGTTACCGAATAAAACACACAAAGCCTATCAAATACATAAACGATGAGCAATCTAAGCTGAAAGTAAATCGTTTAAAATATATGTATAAGTACCTTTGTTAGGGAACAATGAATGCATATATACATTGTATTAATAAAAATAAGAACGATTAAAACAATAAATAAAAGCCTTAGCTTTTGATAATGCAATCAAAAATGCTCTTATCTTAGTCCTTTCTATACGCTGTGGAACACCATTTAAGCGCGTTGATTATTGGTATCCATAGAGGCTGCACGCAATGTGACAAATATAACACAACTGATTGAAGTAGCAAGAAACTTGCATCGATTACACTTGTCTATTTTCCCCTCATTATATTTGGTTTTTTTCTTATTTGACCAATGACATGAAAATATCAAACAAAGAGCGATGTTGCTTTCCTAATGAATATCTGATTTGAAATATTGGCTTATGAATACTAAAATGCTGACTTCCATATAGAGCTATTCATAAAATAGAATAACTGACTCAACGGTACGGCTAACGTATGCTTCCTAGTGTAATTAGCTTTAGATAATTATTCTATTGTCAGACCTTAACTTCCTAAAGCCGATTACTTATTTCTTCATGATCTCCACATGTAGTAATAAGTCCCAAGCCACAAAGTCGCAAATATATGTTCCTTATTTTCCCTAAGCCTCGTTGCTGAGTATCAAAACTAAAATAAACCAAAATGTCTTGAAAAGGGGATAATAACTGCGTCTTTAATTTTGGTCATGACATCCTTTTCAAAATGTTGAGTGGAAAAATTGTAAGCCCATTAGCATCTCCTTGGCATCCCTCAGATTCAAATAAGAAGAGTATTATAGCATTAAGTATAAATAATGAGTATTAATTTGTTTTAATCCATGTATATGTATGCATATGAGAAAAAAATTATGTTACTCAAAAGGGGAAGGGATAAAGTAATGTTGGGATAGTATATTAGCTTCACCAACATTATTCAGAAAAATCAAACCAAATGTAATTGAATTTAAGACCAAAAGTATATAATATAGTGCAGCTTAGTCAATTCAATCTTAGGAAAAAAGATAAATAAATTGACTTTTATAATAAAGTTTATAGATCGAATGTCAATAATAATACAAAAAGTTTATAATCTATAGGGTTAATAAGACCATAAGGTGAAAAAAAAGAAGACTATAAAATCCTCAACACTATAAAATTAAAAAACGTGTGTATTAACGGAACATATATCCGTAGTCTACGTGAAACGCATTGATTAGCATTCAAGCGTGAAAAACAAACAATAATGTATGAAATTATACGTGGTATTGTGGTGATTCAAAAAAATTCTATTGAATATATATGTATAAGCAAGTGGATTTTCTATTCTCTGAATAAAAATTGATTCGGAAATTTTTATAGTTTCCTGATATTTATAGATAACGTTTGTGAGAAAAGGTGTAATTTCAGTTTAAAATACTGACATATTGCACTTTTTCAACGTACCATACATGCGTATTCAAACGCCCCAGATATAATATAATAAAAATGAATAAGCAAAGTATATTCTAAAAAGAGAGAGGCACAATTGAATGTGGAAAAAAAAGAGAGGTAATATATGTTTAAGAAAAAAAGGAATGATCATATCATCATTTGAAAAAAAGAAAAATGAAGCATTTATGAAAACATTGTAGTGATGCAATTCATTCATTTTTCTTTCATTTGCAGTGAGAAAAAGGAGAGAAATACAATTGGCATAAAAATAGCTCATGAAATAACTATAGAAAAATTCTATGAATAAGGTTTCAAATCCAAAATTCTCATTATCTCGTATTTCTGCTAGTTTTCGAAATTTTCATACTTATCGAAAAGACATGGAAATGAAACAAAATAATCTAATATTTCTTTTACGGAATATGATGTCTTAGTGGAATATGTATAAAAAAAAGAAAAGAGTGCATAGTCAATGATGAAAAAAAATGTAAGCACTAAACAAAAACATATTCTATCACAAAAGAAAATCTGATAAAAAATAAGGTGCATAACATTAAACCTGCATTGAAAAATAGTAAGAAAATGCACATAGATTTTTAATAGAAAATATATACCATAAAGCTGTGAGATGCAGATCTATACATATATATTAAAGCCAATGGTATACATTTCAGGTGTAATAATTGAAGTGGTTGCTTTGTTAATTTGATTAATCAGACAACATGCTTTGAACAGCAAGAATTGATGCAAAAGAAGCCATCGCAAAGTATTTCGAATTGTGACATGTATCAGAAACCCCGCTCTCCGTATGGGAAAGCGCCAACATCTCTTTCGAAGTAAGAGTATTTGGTTCTTTGGTATTAATGCCCCCATGCTGACAGCATATCATATCCTTGAACGAAGGTAACATCTTCTTTGATTGGCTGGTGTCAGCTTGGACTCTGAAAGCAAAAGCATGGTGCGCGTCGGGTGATCCCGACAACTTAAACGACGACCCGGACGAGAAGCTCATCAAATGGGAAAACTCCTTTTC